CACACACACACACACACACACACACACACACACACAAACTTTCCTTCTTCTGCTATAGGCTTTGTGCGTCTTATGTCTTTTCCCACCCCACAGTGTTGTCCCATCCAGCCAAGAGATTCCACACATCAGTATTTTATTTATATCTACCATATATAATGATTTCCTGTCTCTCTCCATCTCGTCCATCAGGTGGCGATGCCAAGCTGTTGGTGATGCTGTGCGTCTCTCCCACGCAGCGCTTCATCACAGAGTCACTGCAGTCCCTGGGGTTGGGAACGCGTGCACGCCAGGTCCAGAAGGAGCTGCCTCGACGGAAGAGCAACACCCTCAAAGTTAAGTGACGACACCAGGAAATGTTTCATCCTGCCAAGGCAACGTAAATCCTGCCACATCATATCAACAGTGCAGACTGGAGGGTCTAAAGAGGCAAACCTGAAAAAATGAGTTACACTGATTTGAGGATTTACTGCATAACTACATGTGGGGAAGAAATCAAAGTGCACAGCCTTAAACAATACGACTGAACGCAGTTATTAGAACTCTTTATTCATCACTGGGATACACGGTGCTGCGTACTCGTTGGTATTAAAATCCTACACTGTACAACAATAAAAACATTAGTTTAATATACTTTCCCTTACTTCCTCTTACATATTTGAATAAGTTGGTTGATAGTTTAAATAGGAAATATGTTGTATAATAAATATAAATATGTAGGTTTTGCCAGCATCGATGTACTTCTGTTTTTAAATAGATCTGGGTAGGGCCACCTATGTTTTTAATAGACTTCCTCAAACAGAGGCCTCAGCACCAATAGATTCATTCAAATAGATCTTGGTGTTAAATCTATTTCATGCAGAATAGGCTTCATGAAACTGCTGAAACTTTATAACCCATACGCTGAACCTGGTTTAGTCCAGTTGTCTGCTGGTTAGTGGTAAATGACAGTACAATTATACACAGTTAGGACTTTAATAACTTAATTGACCTTTGTTTTTAACACTATGTCATCCATGTTGTTAAATCCATTTTTATCTACACCAGTATTACGATGCTGCTCATGCCAATAGTGAATAGTGCTATATTGTAAAGCTTTTTGAGTCTTATTTATTATTTATGCTGTAAATAATTTAAATACACGCTGCTCATGCTATGCCTTCTATTTTTTAGTATTTTGATGCATCTGTGTTTATATAATATTCTCATGTATGGTCTGTAATCATAACCCTTTTTGTAAAACAACACAAATCCTTCAAACACATTGAAAAGTCTCAGTAGAAAATAGAATAATAGAATAATTCGTACTTTATAATAAACACCTGATGCGCAGATGTTTTCCTTTTTGTATCCATCTGTTTTATAAATGCAGCTCTTGAAACTAATGAAAAATGGCTTTGAATACATGGTTCCAAGGCTTTTTATACAATGTGCCTCTTGCTTTGGGAATTGTTGCTGTGTAGATTACAACAAAGAGGAGCACAAACAGTTTGTGTTACATCATTGCTTTTGTTTAACAGTTAGATTATTAAGAAGAAAAGTTCTGTGTGAGCACAATTCAAGTTCACATCTGTAAAACTGATCGTCCATGTGGCAGCACCTATCAGATTGATGATTATTTAAGATAAGTTATTTTGGGTCTGTTGTTAGGGAGAATTTCCTCCAAGGTGAAACCACTGGACACGTCCCAGCATGAATAGAACAACACACTGTATCTGGTAATTAAATTTTCTTCATCATCTCCCCTGAGACAAACACACACACTCACTTTTAATAGGCGTCCTCGAATCAGCATACTGTAAACTGCAATGAGAGCTCTGTTCAGTGGATTCAAGTTCTATTTCAACTTCTCTATGTGTCTGAAACACACGTGCCACCTGACAAGTGTTTTTGAAACTGCAGATTTATGATACAGTGAGGATTTGATTAGAACAAGGATGACAATGATAAACAACTGCTGGAGCATCTTCTGTTTCGAGAGATGAAGAGTGTGAAGACGAGAAAAAGGGAGAGAGGTGGTAGAAAATGAGACGAGAGAGAAACAGAAAACAAAGGAGGATGAAGTGTGACAGCACATGTAACTGAACTTGCAATAATCATTCTTCATCCGACAAATAGATAATGTCCAACAGGAGGATCCAGATGTGGATTATTCCAAAATCCAGCAGATTAAATGGATGATCAGTCTTAGCTGTTGATTGTTGATGATCAGTTTATTAATTACCGGGACTTTCTTTAGGCAATAATTCATCTGTTAAGATTATAACAGTTTAAGGAAATGTAGATAAATGTGTCTCTGATGAAATACATCGAACTGCTTGTAATACATATAAATCATCTTCCTGTTCAAGAGCGAAACCCACGTCATTTCAAATGATTTATTTCTGGTTTCATTCGTCTAATAACAAAACCTTTTTTCTTTTTGTATTCAACATTTTTGTAGTTAGTTTTCTGCGCAAATTTTACAGACTTTGCCTTTCCAGAAATGTCTAGAACATTTAGACAAGGGGGGGGGGGCTGGCAAAGCATCATGGAGGTAGGACATGACACAAGCACTGGGCTCCACAATTTCACCAAGAGCTCTTAAAACTTGAGTTCTGTTCCAGTTGACATCAAGGTTTACACCCTCTTCCTGTATGCCACCATTTTTTCATCATCAGATATTTGCTTTTTTGTATATGTGTCCGTCGCGTTAGAAACATTACCACACCCACTCGCTCGCTGGGCTCACACTGACATTTACTAGCAGTTTAAATCTCCTACAATCAAATCAAACTTATTTGGATGAACTTAGCTCCACAACAAACTTAAAACATGTGTAGAGCTGAAACATAACATTAGATTTTTATTAATTCAAGCAAACTGTCACAGTCAACAGTTACATAAGTTACATGTTTTACAGTATTGATCTAATCTTTTTCTTTTTTTTAAACCAGGGTCCCATAGCCCCCCCACCCCCCAAACATAGAAACAGCAAATCCATACAAGCGCAGGCAAGTAAGTAGTAACAGCACAATACATTCATCAACTCAACGATACGTTTTGTACGAACAATAAGGCAAGTAGAAGAAAGAACGAACAAACGAACGGAAAAAGATGGCAGACATTTGCTTTGAAATGAGCCACAACAAGGCATGACCTGTCCTCCTCCTTTAGGCCTGAAGAGGGAGCGATCGTGCCTAATTTCTTCTTCTGAACAACAGTTGCTGCTGCGGGACTGAACGAGGTAAGGCTTCTCGATAGTGGGCGGGTCCACAGTAAAGGGGGGATCTGAGGAAAAAGCTGCCTTTGGTGGTATCGAGTGGTTTGTGGGTACCTTCTCAGGATTTTTCCTCTGCACACTGAATATTCACCTGGAACAATAAGAGAGGCAGGAACTCTGATGTACAACTACAGCATCTCATCACTTCCAGTGTCCGTATGTGTGGCGAATAACGCAAGAGAAGGATTTGAGGCTCCTTTCTTACAAACTGATGGCTCAGTGTTTTTTATAGACATTGCTATCTGTCAACATGAGCAAACATGGCTCCTCAGAACCTGGACAGACAAAAAAAAAAGCTCAATCTCTTGGCATTTATTTCCCTGGGGTGATGTTTCGATGTAAGTGGATGGATATGCACACGTTGCCGAAGACATATATTTACTTCCCCAAACAATCCTCCCATGACCTTTGACATACCAGCACAATCTTTTGCTTGTTCTTTGTGGTGAAACCAGTCCTGATAACAAGAGAAAACAAAAGACAACCCAGCTTGTGTTCACACTGAGCGACCACTGGTGTAGTGGTCAGTGTCGGCAAACTACTGGCCTATCAACCGCAAACGTTTCAGCAGGAAAAGGTGAATAAAAGAAGCTAAAACAGAAGTCATTCAATGCCGTGTTCAGCCACCAGGCGGCAAAACTGTATGGGAGAACTTGCCTTCATTTTTTTCATTTTTTTTTAATCGATGTACAGATAAGAAATAAAAACAAGTGGTTCTTCAAAAAAGTCATTTTCATGTATAACAATAGTAAACATGGAGAAATCCAGCTGAAAAAAGGTCCTGTAGTGCAGAAAAGAATGAATGCAAAATAATCTCTCTTGGAACACGAGAACACGGACGAGGGTGATGTGGAGACTGTCCTCCAAACACAATCCACAACGAGACGAGAGATAAAAAACTTCGACAGAGGATAAATGGGCAACAACGACGTTCCTCTTCTTTCGGGAGTGGTAAGGACTCTGACGGTGAGGTGTGGGGTGCAGGGTTTTTGGAGGTGGGTGCACCTGAACAATTTTGTCCTCTCCTGCCACCGCTGCTTTTCATTTTTTCCCCATCTCCCTGACGATCATTACTCCATCCAGTCTCCTTCGTCAAACTCGGACTCGTCCTCTGAGTCGGAGTACTCCACAGCAATGCGCCGTGACAGGATGGTGGCCACGTCGTTGCCGACTCGCTCGTGTTTAGCCTCTTGCTCTCGCTGCTCCTCCACTTTTCGCAGCTGTATGCCTGCAGCAAAGATAATAAGAGAGGTTCCTGAAGTACTTGTCGTGGATTGAGTAAGTATAAGTATATGAATATATATATATACTATGTAAAAACAGACATTTTATCAGTAGAAATCCTTAAGTAGGACTGCAACAAGTTCTGTCTTCCTCCTTGTAATTATATGTAAACAAAAATTTCAACTAAAGGTTATTTTCATTTGGCTGACAAAGATCTCAGAGCCACATTTGACATCTATTCAATTCACTATCGAACATGAAAAGAAGAAAATCGGTCAACATTCAAATTTGAGTCGTTGAGCCATTTGTGACCTTTGTCTAAAAATAACAAAGACATTCTTGATAAACAAAAGACTTGTCAATCAGTTGATGCTTTCAATACTCGTTTCAAATGTGATTTTATAGATTTGATGCATTTCTCCAACATATGAACTGCAGCTCGTGACCCACCTTTTCTGATGGCTTCCAACAGGACACTGCGTGCATCGCTGATGGGCGGTAGATTGGCTGGATGGTGCCTCTTGGACCCCACATCGTGGAGGCTGTGGGGTGAGGCCATGGCTCCTGCTGAGGGGAAGGCCGGCACTGGTGGCGGGCCTGACAGACAGGGGGAGGAGCTCCGCGCTCCGGGGAGAGGCAGAGGAGGAGGCGGTGGGGGAGGAGGCAGAGTGGTGCCATCCGACTGGGTACCAAAGCTCATGGGTGGGCCCTTGTCCAGGACCTGCTGGAGACGGGCCGGGGAGGAGGAGTGGAGTGGAGGCGCCACGGGCGGAGGCGCCGGGTGGAGCACCCCCGGAGCAATCTGGAGGGGAGCAGGGGCAGGTGGGATCGCCTGGGGCTGCTGGACTGGTAGAGGTGGAATGGGAGGAGGAGGGGTGCCCCGCAGGCCTGAGGAGGGTAAGGGCGGAGGCGGAGGGGGAAGAGGTGGAGGCGGAGGAGGAGGAGTGTTGGAGTTGAATCCTGCTGTTCGTGCCGGAGACTGAGGTCTGCTGTCGGAAAAACCGGAACTGGAGCTGGAGAAAGAGAGACGGACATTATGATAACAAGAGTCACAAAGTTCACATCAGAGGAACAGTATGATCCTACAGTTTTCCTTCAGATAAGATAAGATGATCAGTAGTCCCAGGAAGGGGAAACATTATTTGCAACATCCTTATAACAATGAGAGCTGTTTCTTTATTTCCACAGAATCTACACAGATCATCAGTGGGTGAGCATTCTGTCTGTTTTCAGGGAGACGCAGCTTTCAGCCCAATATCGTCGCTGTAGCCGTCAAGTGTATATTCCTCTTTACATTAAGGCCAGGATGTTATCAGTTATGGCCGCCCACCGACCCTGAAGCTGTGTGGGTGGATCGAGCTACTAACCAGGACACTGCAACACACAGAGCGACATGTGCACAATCAATTTTCTTCCTATGGAGAAAATTGATGCAGCAAAAAGCACAGCGAGAGAAAGAGAACAGAGAAAATGACACATCGAGTATTTCCTCTGAGCACACTTGATGCTGTAGTGAGAAAATGAGATACAGAGCATGATGATGGTAAAATAAAGACGAGACGCTCGAATGTAACGTCGGGAAAGGATTTAAAACTAAGAACCGGATGAGGAGTTTGTGAGAAGAGGAGATGTCATCCTTCAAGGACTTCAGCAAGAAAAATCAATGGTGTTTCTGTGGTGCTGCAGCCATGGACTTAATCAAAACCTCTGATCTCTCCATTCCTTCAAACGGTGACATATGCAGCAAAAGTGCACAACAACCTGTAATACGCTCAGTGGCCTTAACACTTTATTGATCCTGTCCCTCTCCAAGCCTTTTCCTTCTTCTGCTGTCTGCAGTCGACAAAACTCCCTCCATCTATCCATCCATCCAGCGTTCCACTCATCCCTTCTTCCCTGTGTTTTTCTGTTCAGCTCTAACAGAGCAAAAAATCCTCAAACAAAAGCTCACCAAAAGAAACGTGATAGGACGCCACTCAATATTGATCCATACGAGAAAAAAAATTAATAGACCAACTAAATAGATTATGAGCAGGATTGCAATTTTATGTTTGTGAATCAGAGATGAGGTGAAATAGTATTTACAGATAATTCTTCACACTTGAATCTGCTTGGAAAACCACATGCGCAGGATTTTCTCTCGCAGCTGCAGCATGTTTCTGGTCTGTAGGTGCGAGTGAACACATACTGCATTTAACTAAGGTTCCTAAGATGACATGAGACTGATGCTACGTGTATGTGTGTGTGTAGGGTTTCTAGTCCCACCTGATCACAGAGGGTGGCTTTATCTCTCCCAGTGGGTGCATGGGAGGAGGTGGCGGTGGAGGGTCGTGGGGCCGTGAATACATTCTGTCCCCGGTGCGGTTCAGCAGCTCGTTCATCTGGATGTAGGGCAGCGCCGCCAGCGAAAAGGGCCCGTCCATGTGCTCCATGTACAGAGGAGCCCTGAGCAGAGAAGTACGCTTTCATTTTCTCGCTTGTCTTTGAGACCTATGAAGTTTTGTCCTTCTGAATTTTGTTGTCACTGTTAACTGTTTCCCAACTGTTATTAATGCTTGTAAAAGAACCAAAAGGTTTTTGCACACGATCGCGTGTGCACACTTTATTTCAGTCCTCATCATTTTCAGATTAAATCTATTTAAAGCGTTTTTGGTTTTTACACAGACAGAATTTCTGATCTGTTCTCTCTCATTGCCCCAAACAAGCAATGTGTAGACGAGACCAAACATCACACCTTTCCACCAAAAAATGACTTTTCCTCTCATGTTTGGTTCGGATTGTTTCAATCGAATAATATTTAAAGGACTGAAGAGAAGGCCTCCAGTTAAAATGAGAGATTTTTTTATCCTCTTAGCCTGGTAGTTTTATCTGAACTCTATTATGTTGGAAATCACCTCACTGCCCCCTTGAGAGGTCCAGGTCCCAACAATACTGGAAATATATAAAGAATCTCATTGGTGTAATTGTTCCTAGCCAGTGAAACCTGTCAACTCATTGTAACATGGAATCGAGCAAGAGATCTGTAGTCAACATCTGATGAAGATATTTTAATGCAAAAGAAATTCGAGCTTCTTGCTATTATTACCTATAGTCAGGGTTTGATTATTTGCAAGATAAACTGTTACCAAAAAAGTTGGAGGAAGGATGTGGAATGGGTCAGGGAAGAACTTGTTACATTTTGGTGCAGATGCAGGAATTTTTGAAACACTTTTGGTGATTTCTCCAAAGAATTATCTGTAAATCTTGATGAAGAAATTCTGACATATTTAGGATGTTGGTATCGATGAGTGTCTACATTTTGGTGTGGAAATGAAATGAATTCAAATGTGCCATTGCTACAAAAACTACCTGGGTTGACGCTGCTAGCATCATGCACACCTTGGCTATTTGAACATCACATACAGGGCTATTCACTCTATATTGAGATCTGTCCTCGTCTATGCTCAGAAAAAACATTTCACGACACTGAACAAATCCAAGACAACCACCAATTTGAATAAAACCTTTGCTCATTAATCACATTGACTGGCAGAGAAATGATCATGAACGAGTGGCGTCCGAGCTTTGATTCACAATGAGCGCAATCACAGCTATGAAGGACCTTAATCATTAGTTTGCTGTGGCTGCATTTCATCTGTGCCAGCCAAGTGTGAACTGAAAGAACCCAGTCTTGATGGAGTGGGCACAATTTATTATTTCTGCAGATCGAGTGATTGCGTCCTTCTGAAAAATAAGTGTTTCACCAATCAGTGCTGTGGAGGCTCATTGATATTTTAAATCAAGTTATATCTATCTATATCTATATGTCCACATTAGTCGCATCCTTTGACGCATGTACTGCATGTTCTGGTTCTAAATGTATGTTTGATTACTTCGGATGGTTCAGGGCTAACTTCCTACTATGAGGTATGTGATACATACTGGACATCCACCTTCACATACCTGTTGTTATGGTAACCTGCAGATCCGTTCGCTTCTCTGTGTTTGTCTTCAGGAATGTCCTGCGCCAGCTCCGCACCCAGCGCCAGTTTCTGCCACTCCTTTTTACGGTCGTGCGGCGCCCGTGGTATCTTCTCTGGCTCCTGCGGACGGTCTATTGCCTTCATCTTTGGCAGAGGTGAGTTGAAAAGGATGGCGTGGGAAGAGGCGATTAGAGGGAAGATGGCAAGGATCAGAACAGAGGACAAACCCACAAGAGATGGTTTGGGGATGAGGAGGAGAGAGAAAAGAACAGATTAGCTGCCGTCGTTTGTTGTCTTGTTTGACTGTGGGTTACAGACAACAAAAGGAAAATGTGACTCAGATCAGGTAGAAAACAAAAAACACACAATTCAACTAAAATTTGAAATAGCTGCTTCATCCATGTAAACACCAAACCGTTGCATTTTACATGGCAGCTATATCCATCTAAAACGAGTTCATCAGTTTGCTGAACTAGCTTCCTGAAGACACAGTTCACAAAATCAGTTTTTTAAAAGCAGAAGCACTTCACAGAAAATAATATTATATCATACAAGCGTGGGGACAGGGAGTGCTCAGTGACTGACTGAACTGAATCATTAAACATGTGTCTAAACGTCAATAAAGTGAAACATTTTTTTAAATAGTTTCATAGATTGCAGCAATAATAATCTCATGTAAGTCATCAGAGAGCACTCTCCTCCTCCCACACTTCAGTATGACTGACTTTTAGCACACACACTTTTCACAGGCCTGTAAAAGACAGAAATCACACACATCAACAGTCTGTTTAAAATAATCGCTGTATTTTCACATACCTGCCCTGGAAGGTCTAAGTACCTATAGACCTGATCATACATGCGGGGATCCTGCAACTACAAGAAAAAAAACAAAAACCACAAGAGAAGCACCAGGGGTGAGGGGAGGCGGGATTCAAAAAAATCAACACAGCACAGGATTGAGCGCAACACGGCTGCACACGTCAACAGAGACAAAATAACAGAGAGTGAGTGGGACAAAAGAGAAAGAAAGTGCTGTTAAACAGAAAATGACAGCGTGCTCAGCTCTGGGGGACGTCACAATGCAGGTGGGACACAGCTGTGCACACACACACACACACACACACAAACATCCCAAAGCACACACATATCCACAAACAAACACACACACACAGGGAAAGAACAGAGCTGAGTGCAAACAGAAGATGCATGTAGAAAGAGGGAGATCTCACTAGAATGGAAGGACAAACCACAAAGGTGCGTTTTTCTATGTGTGCGA